GGGGGGGGCGCTGGGGCGGGGGGGCCCCTGGGGGGCCCCCCAGAGGAGGGCCCCATGGACGGGCTCTGTGGGGCCCCCATTGAGGGGCCCCAGGGGGGTCCCAGTGGGGGGCCCCCCACAGTTGCTGCGCCGGAGGAGCCCCTGGGGCCAGAGCAGCAGCAGCAGCACAGCCCCAGCAGCTTCCTGCTGCAGCTACCGAGTCCAGAGACCCTAGCAGCAGAAGCAAACGCTGCTGCTGCTGCTGCTGCTGCTGCTGCTGCTGCTGGGAGCAGGGCGTCGGGAAGCCAAGACATGCCAGAGGCAGCAGCAAACTGCACTGAAGGCGAACTGCCTTGTGGGCTTTGCTAGACGCTGCTGCAGCAGCAGCAGCAGCAGCGGCTAGCCAGCAGCTAGCTGAGGGGCCCGCAGCTGCCCCAGCAGCAGCAGCAGCAGCAGCAGCAGCAGCAGCAGCAGCAAGCCGAGGGACGGAAGCGGCGCTGCTCTTTGCGGCGGCCCCACAGCCGCCTCTTTAGGAGAAAAACTGCAACTTTGTTTGGCAGCAGGGAACGTCCTGCTGCTGCTGCTGCTGCAGCAGCAGCAGCAACAGCTGCTGCAGCAGCAGGGCTGCTGCACTGGTGCCCTGCTGAGCCTGCGGGCCCGCAGCAGCCGCAGCAGCAGCAGCAGCAGCAGCAGCAGCAGCAGAAGTGTTTGTGATGATTGTCTCTCTTATTTCTCGTTTGTTTAATTCAAATGCTTCTCAAAAGAAGAAGCATTTAAAACCCCCAGAAGCTTTTGCTTTGCTGCGCTGAGGTGTATGTACACCTGAAGGTGCGCAGCAGCCCCAACTCGTTCGGCTGTTCAGGAAATTCAGCAGCAGCAAACAGCAGCTGCAGCAGCAGCAGCAGCAGCAGCAGCGCTGCTGCTCTCCATTCTACTCCTTTGGTTCTCTCTTGCTGCGCCATCAACACACGCGGCTGCAGCGCGGCTGCCCTCTCTGCTGCTGCAGCAGCAGCAGCGCAGCTGCTGCCTCTGCTGCTACTGCTGCAGTGCGGCTGCTGCCTCTGCTGCTGCTGCTGCTGCTGCTGCCGCTGCAGCAGCTGCCCGTAAGCAGCTGGCTGTGCGCTTCCGCCGGGCGCCGCCGCCGCCCAGCAGCAGCAGCAGCAACAGCAGCAGCAGCAGCAGCAGCAGCAGCAGCAGCAGGTCAGAGGTTGGCAGCAAAGGCACTGGCAATCTTAGTGAGGCTGCCTGCGAAGCTAAACCAGCCCTGAGTGCTGCGGCGCTGAAAAGAAGCAAAAGCAATTCGCCGCCACAACTTCGCCATTTTTGCTGCATTGGACCCGTTCGGAGCTGCCATAATCTGCACGCAGCAGCAGCAGCAGCAGCAGAGCACAGCAGCAGCTGCAGCAGCAGCAGAAGCAAAGCCCGGCTGCAGCTGCAGCTGCTGCTGCTGCCAGTAACAGCAGCAGCAGCAACGCGCAGCAGCAGCTGCTGCTGCCAGCAGCACCATCAGGTAGAAGCAGCGGCAGCTGCTGCAGCTGCTGCTGGCAGCAAGAGCAGCAGCAGCAGCAGCAGCAGCAGCAGCAGCAGCAGCAAACAACCGTGGTTGGGGCTGGAGCTGACCACGTGGGAGAAGTTCAAGAAGGGGGCCCTAATAATGGACTTTGTGGCTCCTTTGAAGCCGAAGCAATTTCCAATCTGCAGCAAATTGATTTCAATTAGACTCAAGTCCCCTTAGAAGCACGTGCTGCCACAGCAGCAGCAGCAGCAGCAGCAGCAACAGCAGCAGCGAAGCAGCAGCAGCAGCTAGGAAACCAGCAGCGCTGCAGCAGCTAGAAAAGCACCAGCACCATCCCCACGACCAGCAGCAACAGCAGCAGCAGCAGCAACAACAGCAGCAGCAGCAGCAGCAGCAGCAGCAGCAGCAGCAGCAGCTTACGAATCCGATTCCGGAGTTGAGGTTGTAGATGGTGGAGCCGGGGCAGCCGCCCCAAACGAGAGAGGGAAAAGCAATACTCATTTTGGTGTCGATGTTGATGTGCACCGCCCCGTAGTTCAAGTCCGCAACTGCCCTCTCCAGCAACTGCAGCAGCAGCAGCAGCAGCAGCAGCAGCAGCAGGTCTTGGCTTCTTTGGGCCTTTGGAGCAGCAGCAGCGGCCGCTGCTGCTGCGGAGCTTTCAGAGGAAGCCAGGCACACACAGCCAGCGCGAAGGAGCGCCCCCCGCGCAGCCAACCGCACGCTGCTGCTGCTGCTGCTGCTGCAGCAGCAGCAGCAGCTGCTGCTGCTGCTGCTGCTGCTAGTCTGGCTGCGAAGGCAAGGCGAGGGGGCGGCGCGGACCGGCGGAAGCCGCTAGTTGGGTTCGCGCAGGAGCCCTGGCCGCGAAACCCTAAACCCTAAACCCTAAACCCTAAACCCTAGACCCAAAGCGGGAGCAGCGAGCTGCAAAGCCAGCGAGCAGCAGTGGGGAAACTCACCTGCTCTTCTGCTGCTGTCGAAGGCTTCACTGAAATGCTGACGGAGAGGCCGCCGTGGACTTTTTCGTTTGCAAATTTGACTGCGGCGGGGAGGAAAGCCGCGAGGGAGGCTTCGGTGTCCAGGGGCACTTCGCCGCAGCACGGACAGAAGGTTTCCTGCGGAAAGCGCCGGTGAAAACGCGAAATTCCGCGAAAAACGGAAAAGAAATTCAAAAACTTTACTTATTTCCCGAAGATTCCAACAAAAAGCTCGAAAAATGCGCCGGATCGGCCCAAGTTCAAGAATTTGCAAAATGCAAAAAGTGACCGGCGCGCCGCTCGCGCCGCCTCCTGCGGTGTACGTACACCCCAAACTGCCCGCGCGCTCACCTGCCGAGTGAAGAAACAATCTTCCGGAAGATCTGTTGCAAAAATAATCTTTTTAATTTCGCTATCTTTCGCAATTGGGCAGTGCACGGGGGCCTCGAACTCCTCCGCCTTCTTCCCCATCGCCAGCAGCTTCTCCTTGTAAGACCTGCACAGCAGCAGCAGCAGCAGCAGCAGCAGCAGCAGCAGCAGATCGCGGGCGCTCGTGCATGCGAAGCAAGCAGCTCTTCAACCGCCGCTATTAAATCGGAGCCGAACGCGCCCGCCGCAGCAGCAGCAGCAGCTGCTGCTGCTGCTGCTCGCGGCCGTGCTAGGGCCTCGCTGGAAGGCCAATTTGCTGCCAGCAGACTCTGCTGCTGCTGCTGCTGCTGCTGCTGCTGCTGCTGCAGAGGCCCACTCCATGCGGGAGGAGAAGTCGGGGTAGTAACAGCCCACGTAGTAGACCTCTTGAATGTAGGACTGAATGAGCTGCAGAAACTCTTTTCTGTGTCCGCAGCAAAGCCCGCAGCCCCAATTAAATTAAATGCCAAATATTTAATTTAAATTCATTTATATATTTGCATGCGGCTTCCGGCCATTTACAAATGTGTATAGACGCTGCCATAAGTTCTATGTGCATGTATAATCTTTGTATGCTGCAAAGCCAGCAGCAGCAGCAGCAGCAGCAGCAGCAGCAGCAGCGGCAGCGGCAGCAGCGGCGGCCCTGTAGGGGCCCCTAGAGGGGCTGCAAGGGCCCCCTAAGACTTCTGCTGCTGCTGCTGCTGCTGGCCACTTTGAGCAGCAAACTGAATTGCTGCGGGGCTGTGAGCCCGCAGCAGCAAAACGGCCTGCAGCAGCAAAAGCGGCTCTCGCCGCCTTTTGAATTCTGCCCTTCCGAGGTGTACAGACACCTGAGGTGTACAGACACCTGAGGTTGCATGCAGCTGAGGTGTACAGACACCTGAGGTGTACAGACACCTGAGGTGTACAGACACCTGAGGTGTACAGACACCTGAGGTGTACATACACCTGAACTTGCCTCTGCGGCCAGTTCTTGCAAGTCAGCAGCACTTGCGGATGCGCGCAAATGTGGGCCCCGTTGAAGGCCATACTTGCTGCGATGGCCTGCAGCAAAATAGCAGCAGCAGCAGCAGCAGCAGCAGCAGCAGCAGCAGGTGCTGTCCAGAGCAGCGCCGCAGGCAGCAGCGACACCAGAAACCAGAAAAGTGTAGGAGAGACTGCAGCAGCAGCGTCGGCCTATAGAGGCGTATTTATACAAGAGACGGCAACCCAGCTGCAGCAGCAGCTGCTGCTGCAGCAGTTGCTGCTGCAGCAGCAGATGCTGCTACAGCAGTTGCTGCTGCAGCAGCTGCTGCACCTGCTGGCCCAAAGCCCTGTGTCTAGAGCAAAATAGTGCAGCCAGCCAGATAAGGAGCTGAAGGTAGAACTTGGAATTAATTCAGCAGCAACAGCAACATGAGCAGCAGCAGCAGCAGAAGCAGCAGCAGCAGCAGCATGAGCAGCAGAAGCAGCAGCAGCAGCAGCAGCAGCAGCAGCAGCAGGAAGAACTTGAGTCTGAATTTGTCGAAGTCCGTACAGCGGCGTGCCACTTGAGCTGTCTGCGGGACCTGCAGCAAAAAGCATCAGCAGCAAATTGGGAAATAAAACAAAAGAAACTTTTGGGACTTTTTGCTTCAAAAAATAAAACCAAAAGTGCCATTTGCGTCACTAGAAGCAGCAGCTGCAGCAGCTGCTGCAGCAGCTGCTGCAGCACTGGGCCATTCTGAAGCAGCAGCAAAAGAAACGAAACTGCTGCAGTTCCCCAAAGTCCGCAAAAGGGCCCCAGAAGCAGCAGCAGGCGGGCGCAGCAAACTGCTGCGCTGCAGCAAAGCCTGCTGCTGCGCTGCAGCAAAGCCTGCTGCTGCGCTGCAGCAAAGCCCGCTGCTGCGCTGCAGCAAAGCCTGCTGCTGCGCTGCAGCAAGTGCAGCAGAGCGGCTTGGCGCGCTGCAGCAAGGCGGCTTGGTGCGCCGCAGCAGCAAGCGCAGCAAGGCGGCTTGCTGCGCTGCAGCAGCGCAGCAGCAGCGCAGCAGCAGCGCAGCAGCAGCGCAGCAGCAGCAGCAAACTTGCCACTTTCCGGGACAAACAATCCAAGGAGTGCAGTTTCCCAACTCCACTGTCATGGGCTTTTTAAAAAGAGGCTCAGCTGGCGGCTGCTGCGGCTCCGGACTTCCCCAGATTATGCTGTACGCTGTTGCTGCTGCACCTGTACGTACACCCCGCGCCCCACACCCCACACCTGCTGCAGCAAATGCTTCCCCAAGACCCAAAAGGGGGCCCCCAGAGGGTTCGGGGGCCCCAGGGACTTGGGGGGCCCCCAGAGGGCTGGGGGGGCCCCCAGGGTGCTGGGGGGGGCCCCCAGGGTGTGGCGGGGGCCCCCAGCAAGTTGGCGACCCCTGGTGGGGGCCCCTTCCAACTCCATGGGGGCCCCCAGAAGGGCTGGGGGCCCCCAAAAGAGTTGGGGGGCCCCAAAAGGGTTGGGGGCCCCTGTGGGGGCCCCTGGGGGCCCCCTCGGGGGCCCCTGGGAGTGTGCTGACCCGTCATGAACCACTTGTCGACTTGGGGGTGGTGGAGAAGACTTTTTGCTTCTTCGACTCCGCCGAAAATAAAAGCTGCGAAGTTCGCCTCCAATAAAGGGGCGAAGATCTTCTCCAGAGGCTCCAGCAAACGCGCGTTGAACGGGCTCAACTGCAGCAGCAGCAGCAGCAGCAGCAGCAGCAGCAGCAGCAGCAGCGGGAGTGTTGGCGTAGAGGTAGTTGTAGGAGTAGCTGCAGCAGCAGCTGACGGCACTAGTGTGGACGTCCCTGCACCTAAGCCCAAAGTCAGCGCTGCTGCTGCTGCAGCGCTGCTGCTGCTGCAGCAGCAGCAAAAGAGTGGCAAAGGCCCCAGAAGACACGAGAGCTTTCGAATGCATGCAAAAAGAAAAAAGAAAAATTAAAATAAAAAATAAAAATAAAATTCGAGCTGTGGGGCTTTCGGGTGTATGGTCACCTCTGCAGCGCGCGGGGTGTACGCGCAGGTACTTGCAAACTGCTCTTTTGAATTCAATTAATTTAATTAATTAATTAAATAATTAAATTAATTAATTAGTTAATTAATTAATTATAATTAATTTTAATTAATTTAATTAATTTATTCTTCAATCCAAAGAAAGCCCTCACTTTGTAAATGCAAACTTTGTTTTCTATGAAGAGAGCAGTCAGCAAATCGACGGGGCCGTCAACTGCACGTGCGGCGCAGCAACCAGCAGCAGCAGCAGCAGCAGCAGCAGCAACAGCAGCAGCAGCAGCAGCAGGAAAGACAGCAATTAGGATGCAGCGGAGTCCCCCGACTTGTAGCAGCAGCAGCAGCAGCAGCATCAGTCCTGCAGCTATCAGCTGCCCCCCGGCCCTTCTTCTAGCGAATAATATATCACGCTGCAGCAGCTGCTGCTGGTGCCACTGCTGCTGCTGCTGCTGCTGCTGCTGCTGCTTGTTAAGCAGCTGCAAAGCCAAATAAAACAAGGAAGCCAACTACGCCTCAAGAAGACCTAAAGCTGCCGAAGACACTAAGAGCAGCAAAACTCCAGCAGCAACTAAGCCCCTCAAGAGAAAAAGCCCCAGGCAAGCACCGGCGCAGCGCAGCAGCAGCAGCAGCAGCAGCAGCAGCAGCAGCAGCAAACCCACAGTTGCCTGCCCCCAGAACTGCTGCAACCCCAGGGGGCCTCTCGTGCAGCAGCTCCTGCTCCACGGGGCCCTCCACCACCAGCTCCAGCGATCCGCAGGTCACCAGCGTCGTGTGCAGCAGGCCCGAGGGGCCCACCTGCACGCAGCAGCAGCAGCAGCAGCAGCAGCAGCAGCAGCAGCACAGCAGCAGCGGCGAAATGAGGAAGCTACAGGTCTGCGGGGGGAGCGCCCGGCTGCCTGAGCGCCGGGTCCAACTGCAGCGAAAGCGGGCCAAAGGCACGCAGTCATCAACAGCAGCAGCAGCAGCAGCAACAGCAGCAGCAGCAGCAACAGCAGCAGCAGCAGCAGCAACAGCAGCAGCAGCAGCAGCAGCAGCAGCAGCAGCGTACCTTGACGATGTGCCGCTGGGGCTTTCCCTCTTCCGCAGGGGCCTCCCGCACCGCCAGGGGGGGCGGAGGGGCCCCCGTTTTGACAACAGCTTCGAAGTACTCGCGAATGATGCTGAGCCAGTTGCTCACCAGCTGCAGCAGCAGCAGCAGCAGCAGCAGCAGCAGCAGCAGCAGCAGCAGCAAGCCCAGGTGTACGTACACCTAGAACTCCGCGCGCGCGCACGCCCACGGCACACGCTCCAGCGACGCTGCAGCAGCAGCAGCAGCACTCCCAGCAGCAACAACAGCAGCAACAACAGCAGCACAGCAGCAACGGCAGGAGCAGCAGCAGGAACAACAGCCACACAGCAGCAGCAGCAACAGCACCCGGAACAACAACAGCAACAACAACAACCACAGCAGCAGCAGCAGCAGCAGCAGCAGCAGCAGCAGCAGGAGCAGCAGGAGTCACCATGGAGGAGTGGAGCCAGTGCTGGGCCCTGGAGGCGTTCTGGAGGGCCTGGAGGTCCGCAGCGGAAAGCGCGGAGTACGCGGGGGCGTCTTTGAGGTCTCCGTCGCGTTTGAAGACGGAGGCGGCGTGGAGGGCTTCGCCGTGGGCGTTCAAGTTGTCCATGAGTTGGTCGAGAAGTTCAAGTTTTTGCTGCGGAGGCAGCGCGGCCCAGGCGGCCTTCGTGGCTGCCACGCGCTCCACCACGGCTGAAATGTCTTTATTTTCCATTTTAAATGCCTTTGCGAAGAAAAAGCTGCTGCTGCTGGCTCGCAAACCGCAGACTCGCGAGCGCGCGCGCCCGCGGTGCGAAACTTGCACGAAACCCCCCAAGCAGCAACACCCGCGCGGAAAGCGGACTTCAAAAGCCGCAGAGGACTTATAAACTCCTTTTAGCTCAAGAAGGAAGCCGGATCGCGCAGGTTGCCGCAGAAGAAGTCGCAAACTGAACGGCGGCGGCGGCAGCAGCGGACGCAGCGACGGAGGCGTGCTGCGGTGTACGTACACCTCAGACGCCGCACCCTCCGCGAAACCGAAACCACCGGAAATTTCAAAACAAAAAACGCCGGGAATTCAACTTTAACTCCGCAGAGGGCCTTTATCTTTTTCCTAACTTCGCGGCGCTGCTGCGGCGGGCCTGAGACAGCAGCAGCCAGTGTCCGTCCGCCGTTTCCTCTTAGCCCGCGAGACATGGATAAACCTCCTCCATTTCGTTCTTCTTGAGTTTTAATGACCACGAAATGCCTTAAATGCTTCAAAGTTTCCTTTTATCCCCCGCTTTCCCGCGAAATTCGCCGGAACGGCCTGCTGCTGTCTGCTGCCGACCGGACGGCGCCGCCTGCAGCAGGTGTGCTGCATGCGGCGCTGCTGCTGCTGCTGCTGCGCTCGCAGTTTTTCTGTTGCAGTTCCTCTTCAAATTGCATTAAAGACCTTTTGCAGCTCCCAGGGCTTCTTTCAAAGCTCGCTTTCCCCTTCCCAGAGCCCCCTCCCACTCCCACTCCCACTCCCGCCGCCGCCGCCGCTGCTGCTGCTGCTGCTGCTGCTGCTGCTGCTGCGGACCCCGCAAGACGATGGACCTCACTGCGTCTGTTGCTGCTGCTTCTGCAGCGTCGAGCGGGCTGGGGGGTTTGTGCGGGTCTGCGGGCCTGCAGGACGAGCTGCTGAACAACTCGCTGCAGGAGGGCTTTCCCGCTGCAGCAGCAGCAGCAGCAGCAGCAGCAGCGGGGGGCCCGCGGCCGCCGCCGCGGGGCGTGCCGCCGCACCCGCTGGAGCTGCAGCAGAAGCAGCTGCTGCTTGCTGCAGAGCAGCAGGAGCTGCAGCGCGTTGCTGCTGCCTTCGGCAGCTACGCCGCTCTTCGCCTCAAAACTGAAAGAGAGCTTTGCGCCACCGCCCAGCGCCTCCCGGGCCTCCCCTCTTCTCTCTGGGGCCTCCAGACCCTCATGGGCCTCGACATTTCCATTTCTCCTCAAGACTATTTGGGCCGCGAGAAGCCAGAGCTTGAGGGGGGGCCCCTCCTCACCCTCCACGACCGCATCGAGCGCGCCATGGGCATTTAAAGCGACCCGGGGGGCCCCCGGGGGCCTCGGGGGGCCCCCAGGGGCCTCGGGGGGCCCCCGGGGGCCTCGGGGGGACCTCGGGGGGCCCTTGGGGGCCTCGGGGGGCCCTTGGGGGCCTCGGGGGGCCCCCGGGGGGCCCCTGGGGGGGCCCTGGGGGGCCCCCTAGGGGAGCCCCAGGGGGGGCGTGCGGGGCCCCGGGGGGATTTGAGGGCACCAGGGCGCTCTATGGGGCTTCCAGGGGCCCCTTGGGGGGCCCCTGGGGGGCCCTAGGGGGGCCCCTGGGGGGCCCCTGGGGGGCCCCTGGGGGGCCCCCAGGGGAGCAGCAGCAGCAGCAGAGATAGGAAGGGCAGAGGGAGTTCATGCGGAGACGGAAAAGAGAAATTCGCGTTAAGAGCAGCAGCAGATGCGCAGGGATGTGCGGGGCGGCTGCTGCTGCGCTGCAGTGCTGCAGCAGCAGCAGCAGCAGCAGCAGCAACAGCAGCAGCAGCAGCTGCTGCTGCTGCTGGGCCGCAGGGGAACTGAATGCATGCGCGGCTTTGCTG